GTTATGCTCCATTGCTCTGGTAGGCAGCTATAGGAGATCATTTTTAAGAAATAGAGAGAGAGAGAGAGGAACATGAGTGTGCCTACCGCATGAGTCTTGAGGCATAAGCCGTAAGTCCTTCATGGTAGAAAAATCACACCATGAAACATACACAGTCTAAATGAAATCAGTTATGGAATCCAGAGGCAAGACAGCTGTCCCAGCAACTGACAGCAAAATGTGATTTCCTGAGGAGACTTGAGGGTAAAAACCCTCAGCTTAGCCGAGCCTGGAGCCGTGATGATGTCATCCTGAAGGAGCTAGCCCCTCCGGGGCGGCAGAGCTGTGCTGCACCTTCCTGGCCATTTCAGTGAAAACCCAATTTTACTGTATGAAAAAGTTGAGATCCTTCTCAAGACAAAGACGTCCACTGCTGCTTTTCTCTGGGAGGCTCAATCTGTTGAAACACCTGATGACTGGGCCCTCTCCATTGAGTGCCCACAGGCATCAGGTGCTGCCTTCAGCCTCCGGTTTGTTCTGCAAGCCGTCACTCTTTCAGGAAAGGTTGGGAAAGGAAGCCCAAACAGACGAAGGCTGCATGGCTGGAGATGCCAAGACACGTTACTCACTCCCCCAAACTGCTTCGAGCTAAGACTGTGCCACAAAACCCATCACGCCCTGCAGAGATTTGGGAGGTGTCTCAGAAGTCTTCCCGGCCTAATGACTGCCGCTTAACAGTCTAACGATGGAGACGTGCATTTAGTAATAGCCAACAAGAGACAGCCAAGATGAAGCTGTTTTGATTGTAGACACCCATTATAGCCTCGACGTTATTTACCTCGCCTTTTTAAGGTTAACTCAAATACGATAACTGCTTGACACTTGGGGTGTTATTGCAGCCGAGAATATATTCGCTGACGTTACAACATGAGGTTTATCCCCAAAGCATTTACTGGGAGCCCCTCTCTGCTTATATGGGGGGGGGGTGTCTGCTGCCAGTGTCCATGTCTGTCACAGAAGATCTGATCTGACCTGTTTCCAGAATACAGATCCTTCAGTTTCTGCATCACAGCTCAGGCCAGAACAGACACGGCCCGGGGTTTCTGGAAGCCAGAGAGTTTTTATATCCACTGTAAGAATCCTTGAAACACTGAACTCAGTGATCTTAACATTTTTTGAGTGCCCCCCCAAAAAAAAGACCCCACTCTTTGTTCTTTAGATCCCCAAAGAGAAAAAAAAAATCTCAAATGAGAAAATACACCCCAAAGGAAAAAGGACCACATAGGAATCCTTGTGCCGACATATTGATAATGACAACAAAGTAAATGAGGTCATCCTGGAGTTTGTCCCGTGTGCCCTCCAGGACCCGCTCCTCAACAGGATTGGTTTTATAAGTGATCTCTGCCTTTTCATGATCTGGAAACATGACAGCCACAGAGCTGGGTCCAGGAGGAGACCACAGGATTCACAGATAGAAATGAGTAACTGCAGTTAGCTGCAGCAGGCCCTCTATAGTCCCCCAGGGACCCTGACCCACAGGTCAGCCACGAAAGCAATGGAGTGTCCTCCAGCACCTCCCCCAGAAGGAGCCCATGCTTCGGTCAGTATCCAGGAACTGTTTTCAGGCAAGTTGGCAGTGGCCTCCTTGGGTTACTGAACCTTAAGAAATCAGAACGAGAAGCCACTGTCTTGATCGCCCGTGGTAGAGGGTGCTGAATGGTGTTTCCATCAAGAAATGTATCATGTCACCTAAGTAGGTGTTGTTTCCATCCCTTCACAAAGCCAGGAAAAATATACCCTGACTCTCAAGTGCCTACCCTGTGCATGACACAGCCAGGGACTGTGGCCCTGGGTGGTTCTGGGTGAAGAAAGACCTTAGTAATTCCGCTCACAGACACGCCCTGCAGCTCAGGAGGCTGAGCAGCTTGGGCAGCTCCGAGGTGCGTGTGTGTAGGGACTGGTCCTGATGCTGCAGATCCTGGGTCCTTGCTAGCGCTGTGTCCTCCTCCCCGAAAAGATCACAGCAGTTAGCAAGGAAAAAGCCAAGATTTATGAGGAAAGGAGAAACGCTCATGACCTGTAAGGAAACTGAACTTTCAATTAAAGAAAACCTGCTTGGCCTTGCCAGTGGGTCAGTATTGTCATTTGTTCAGTGAGAATGCTGTCCAAACGTCTCTTAGGGTATATGACATGTTCCCAGCTGCTGCTGACCTCACAGCCAACAGCAGGGACAAATACTTTCTCCTAACCACGGCGCACGTGCGCACGCACACACACATACACAGACAGACAGACAGACACACACACACACAGGACACACACACACACTCACCAAAATCTACTAAGAACCGACTGTCAAGACCTCAGGTTGGGACAACAAAAACCACTGCCCTGTTCCTCCAGCTCTGCTGGTCTCTGTCAAGCCTTGTGGGGCTCTAGCTAGGGAAGGATCGTTAAGCATGGCTGCAGTCATCAGACCCAGGCTTGGGGTTCCCTCTCCACACAGCAAGCTGTGGGAACAGGTGGACTGAGTCATTTTTGACAAAGAGAAGCAAGCAGGCTAGAGCTCATTCTCTGTGACTCAAGCTGGGTCTCACCAGCAAGCACAGCAGCCTCAATTTCCGTGACTTGTAGAATCCGCCCTGACACTTGCTAAAGAGTAATTATGCAATGCCTCACCCCTACCCCAAGGTTCCAGTGCCACTGGGTGACCAAGAGCAGAGAGATGCCTTAAGGAGAAAAATACACGGATCTAATACAAGGGCTTCTAAATCTTCCTAACAGGGGTGTGTGGGTGTCACTGTTTTTACTAACTGATCCCAAGCGAAACCTCCATTCTTCAGTTTAAAATGATGGCCGTGCCCAGCCAAAGTCCAAACAGAGAAGCCGGAGCTTTCAGAGACAGTATTCTTTCTCTAGGTCCTCCCCACTCCTCCCTCCCCTTCCCTCTCCCTCCTCCTCCCCCCTCCTCCTTCCCCCTCCCTCCACCTTCCTGGCCTTCCAGGTTTCATTGTCAAAGACCACACCCGCCCTCAGAACACAGAACTCACTCCACCCCACCCCACCCCCACACACCGATCTTGCTGGAAAGCAGGGTTATTTCAAAGGGAAGTTAAAACACCCACAAAGGCTTGGGATAACCGAACAGGTGAATCAGTCCTGGGCCATGCAGGGACCTTCAAAGTAACACAGACCATGTGAACTATTTCATCCGCCTTTGTAACCGGCCCAAGTCGGATTTTAAACAGTCGGGGAGAGAGGAAAACTGAGACGTTTCTCAAGCACAGCCCGGATCAACATCTGTAATCTACATTTCTCCCCTGTGAACTCAAGCCCAAGTCAACGCTTTTACTCAGGCAGAGGAGGACGAAGTGAGGGCACCCAGGTGCCACAAGGGAGCCTTGGCCAGGAGCCAGGGTCATAAGCACGGGTCGGGGTGTGAAAACCTGGCCCACTCAGCCCTGGAAGCCGGGGTTCTCCATGAACGTAAGGCTCCCGGGTCATGGTGCGGACACCCAGAGAGGGTGACAGCCGGGGCTGGCTGGGCTCGGGCGAGCAGGGTGCAGCTGCTCAGTGGGCAGCAGGGCCACCTGAGCCCACGGGGAGGGGGGGGCTGGGGGACGAGGAGAGACACGGGGCAAGGAGGACTGGGGTGGGGGCACGGGTCCGAGCGCATCCCAGGTGGAGAGGACCCTGTAACCTGGGACTACTCAGGGGCCGCCCGCGCTGCGCGCCACCTTTCCCGCGGCTGGAGCGGGGCGGAGCCCGGAGCAACGCGGGAGCCCGGGCGGGCCACGGTCCCCAACGGCCTGTGGCGTCCAGGGCGGCAGGCCACTGCCCCAGCCGCGCTCCTCTCGGGGCTCCCGGGTCCTGTCGTGGTCCCCTGAGTGACGCGGGCTTTTTTGGAGCCACAGGTGGCCCGGGCGCGTTCCCAGAGTGTGTGCGCGCGGGGTGGGGTGGGGTTGGGGAACAGGTTCTGTGCCTGCGCCTCTCGTCCCTCTGGCCGCCCGGTCCCCTGTCCACAGCATCAGCATCTCAGCCCTGCCCGTCATCCCGGACGCATGCTCGCAAAGTTGAAAAGAGGGGTGTCTCTCCCCGTGACCGCCCCTCCCCAGGGCAAGGAGCCTTGGGGCGCGCGAGGCTGAGTTGCTGGGACCCGCCCGCTGAAATCCCCTTGACCCTGCCCTATAACTGACCCTTAGGGAAAAGGAGGGGAAAAAGAAACCCCACCAGAAAGCCTACTGCGCATGCTCAGAGCTGGACAGCTCCAGAGAGGGAAATTTAAAAACGGTTCGAGCTGCGACGGCGGCGGCCAAATTGCAGTGAGGGGCGAGCTCACGGGAGTCCCCCCCTCCCCCGTCGCAGCGCCGCCCCCAGCGAGCCCAGGACCCGCTCCAGGTACTATGGTGCAGGCCGGGCCGTGTGCCTCGTCCGACACGCGGGGGGGCCCCACTGGGGCTGGAGGCTTCCCACGTCTGCTTCAGGCTTGGCTTGGAGGATTTAGGGGCGCCCCCACCCCGGGATCTTCCTTAATGCTGTGTTCGTGGGTGGCCGGGGTGGGTGACGCAGTGCGTGGACCGGGTTTCCAGCGCCGGCGTCCGGAGTCCCCTTCCAGGGAGGGAGCCCGGCGGATGGGTCCCCGGACCCATCAAGTCCCACTTTTCTGATGATCTCTTCATTTTCAAACTGAATAGCGGTGGAGAATGGGACCTGGAAGCCTTCGCATTTCTGTTTTGCCAGGGCTTTCCCGAAGCTTGACGTTTCCATTTAGGGGTTCCCCTCCCCCTTCCCTCCTTCCCCTTGAATTTGAAAGAACTTGGAATCTCACCCATTCTCCTCACTTGGCTCTTAAACTCCTGTAGGGTTTTCGTGGGACTGTGACCGTTTGTCAGTCGCCTCTGAACTGTGGGAAACTGTGGGTCTCTGCCCCGCCTGCCTCGGGGTTGATGAGAACTTTGTTTTTTTTGTTTTTTGTTTTTTGTTTTTTTTTTACTTGTTTTTTTTTCCCCCACCCTAAGGAGATGATAGAAAGTGACATCACGCCCAAAATGTCAGGAATGATCAGAAGCTCGGGGCACAGTCACCACCGCTCTCCACAGGAGTACAGGTGAGGGCCATGTCCAAGTGCTGGTGGAGTTGCCTGCCGCCTCCACAGTTCTGATGGGGTCAGAAAGCCTCAGTCTCAGAGTGCTCTCTCTCGTTTGGTGTCCCCTCTAAGGGATTGTCTCCTGGGTTAGAGACTGTGGGCAGCCTGGTGACAGCAGCAGCTGTTGCTTCCTATCTGATGACCTCAGCAGGGGCTCTAGGAAATGGCCACTTCCCCCCCCCCCCAAGCATTTTGGATGTTGGGAGGTTGTAGGTCAGAACTCAGTTCTTAGCCCAGCTGTGTGATTTTCGGCAAGCCCTTCCCCTGCCTTCTCTGGGCCTTGTTTTCTCTCCGTGTAAATAAATGATATTGCAGAATTAGAGGGCCTCAGGGATTTCTTTTGAGGGATTTGAGTTCTGTGGACCAAGTTGTCTGAAAGTAAAGGCCAAACAAAATGGTTCTCAGAACAAAACCAAACCTCGGGGGAGGGTGGCTTTCTTCTTTGGGGAAAGCCATTAGGGATTCAGCCAAAATTCAGACCCAAGCAAAGGCTTCTTTACAGGTGGGAGAACTGAGGCCCAGGGCGGAGCTCAGTGCAGAGCACACAGCCGTTGGGAAAAAGGGAGGAGGAGGATTCGGAATGGCAAAGGGTCCCCTGCTAGCCTCTCTCCCTGGAGGATGGGGTGGCCTGACCTGGTTCCCAGAGCCCTAAAGGCAGCACCATGTCTTGGTTGAGGAGTGGGGCCAGTATGGGGGTTGCCCTGGGAAGGCCAGGCTGTCACCTCAGATCAGGCCTGTTTACCCCAGGGGCTGTCTGGCCCAGGGGGCCAGCTGCAGCAAGAGCACTGCCTGCTGAGGCATCCAGCAGCCCCCAATTAGAAGAAGGCTGCCTCTAGACACAAAGGAGGCCTAGGATTCAAACAGCTGGGTTTATCTTATGGGGTGGGGCGGGTGGGGAGGGATGCTGTGTGGAACACCTTGCCCCGGTGCAAGGGCAGTTCCGGTATCCATCATTCCCGGCCTCTGCTGAGTCCACCATTCAGGGAAGGAAGCCAAGGCCAACAGCATCCAATCATCCAACCCGGGACCTCTGGGCTTCCTTCTTGCTCTTAGGGGTTAAATAATCAGGAGTGGGGGCAGTGTGGGCATCTCTGTTTCTCTGGCCGTGTGGCACTTTCTAAACCTCAGTTTCTTCACCTGTAAAATGGAGGTAAATGGTACCAGTGTTCTGGGGTTGCTGTGGCAACCAAGTAGGCACATCTGGGTTGGCCACTTGCAGATGGTATGGTGAGCCTGGGTCACATCACCTCTGAGGCATCTTTGGTTTAATCCAACAGAAAAGAGAAACTACCATAAAAGCAGCTGGCACCCAGCTAATTTATGTTCCCTGGGCAGCGCTGCCCTCCAAGTGGGAAGACCGTGAGGGAGCAGGTTCTTCCCACAGCTGGATGGAAGGGTCAGGAAAGGGAGTAGAATGAACAAAGGTTAGAGGTCAGACATATGCCCGTTCCTGGACCTGCCTCTGACTGGCCCCATGACTTCAGATCTCTGTCTTGAAGGCGAACAGGGTTGGGGCTGGGTGAGATGGTTTGGTAGGTAAAGGGGCTTGTGGTGCAAGCCCAGTGAGCTGAGTTCAATCCCTGGACCCCACATAAACGGTGGAAGGAGAGAACTGACTCCACAGAGTTGACCTCTGACCTCTACTCGTGTGCTGTGATATGAAAGCCCCCCCCCAAATAATAATCATAAGTTAAATGGGCACAATTAGGCTGCCTCAAGGATTAATGACGACGCTTGCAGGACAGAGGCTGCTTAGCTAGCTCTGTTATGGCTGCCTCCAGCTTAGCCATGTTGGAATGCGTGGGAGCTGGAACCACAGAGGGCCTTCGGGGAGGGTGGGATGGAATCCCTGCATCCAGGTGCCCAGCTGCTACCCAGCGGAGGCTCCCATGAGGCTCAGGCTGCATGCCCAGGCCCGTGCATCCCCAAAGCAGGGGAGGGCAGACAGAGAGCAGCCCGGGGGGATGGCATGTGTATTCTGCCCACTGACCAGCCGGGGGGCGAATGGGGGCTGGAAGCAGGCTCTGTGCTGTCAGCACTGGACCCAGAGATGCCTGGGACCCAGCCCCCACACACTTTTCCCAGGGCAGAGGTTCCCTTCCTTGCATTGGACAGCTAGGGCCTCCAGACAGCAGACAACCTCACTGGAGCTGCTGGAGCCCTGTGCCTTGGGCTATACCACCTTTTGAATAGTGACCAGCCGCCCCCAAACCATCCTGAGAGGGCCACACCCCTGTGACAGTCTGATAAGGCGGTGAATCCAGATCAGCCAGGGTTAATGCTTTCGCAAGATGATGTGGAGGTGACAGGCTGTGCTGGGACTTAAGCCTGAAGTTGCTGCGCCTGTTGCTGGCAAGACATTAGGCTAGCCCAGGGCAGCGCTTCCTCCTGGAAAGGAAATTTTATAATTACTCCGTGCAGGGAGTCTTTGCTTCTAGCAACTCCCATTTTTCCCCCCGAATAATAGCTCAGGAGAGGTTTACAGCCTCTCATTTGTCCTCCTATGTCTCCAGGGATCAGATCCTGTAGGCTGTGAGTCCAGACAACACCTCCGGGGCCCCTCGTGCAGGCCACAAGCAGCTGCCTGGTGCTCCAGCCCCTGGGGGGCTACTTTAGCCGTCAGTTAACTTCCAAAGCCCACTTTCTGGGAGGGCGTTGCTGGCTGCAGCCAACGGCCCAGTACTGGGGCAGCTGTCAGGGGTCGGTGGTGGAGGCCCCGAGGGAGCGGGGAGCAGTCACCGGTCTCTCCTCCTGGGGGCTGACAGCAGAGCCACCACTCTCTGCAGCTCTCTCCCCGAGCAGCCTTGCACCCTGCTAGCTTTAGCTGGGTTTCCTCTTAGTTCAGAGGGTGGTACATCTGCTCCCAGAATGCCAAGGAATAGTTCTTAACTATCCCGCTGGGTACTGGATGCTAGGTGTTTGCTTAGTCCCAGCAAGTGTGGGCCTCGTGCTATCCTTACTGCGGTGACCCTGGCTTCATCTCCGTCTACAGACAAGAAAACAGGCTAGCCACAGTGCTGGCCCACAGGCTTGTATTTGGGGAGAGGAAAAAAAAAAAAAGTCCTGAGCAGCTGCCTCAACTTTTGGAACTTAGTTCAGAGAGGTCAGGCCCAGGGCCTTCTCTCCACAGATCAGAAAATGAGCAAGGAAGGCACGGCGGTATGTTCTCCCCTCGCCTGACTGTTGTTGACTTCCCAAAATGTCAGGATCTGCCCTAACAAAGGAAGTGATCCTGGGAAGGGAAGGGCCCCCTTCACATGGCGGAACCACAGTGCTGGGCTGAGATTGGGTGGATGGGTGAGCAGACACTGCAGAGGAGGCGCCACCCACCAGCGTGGCCTCCGGGGTAGACTTGCACGGGCAGTAACATCCTTGTATCTTTCATCTTCAAGGTCAGTATATGGAATAGCATCCCGGCTGCTGAACGGACAGGGAGAGGCGGGCCTTGCTGGGCTTCACTCAGGCTGCCCCCGCAAAATGCACACACGAGCGCAAGCACACACACACACACCAAGTCCCAAGTCAGCTATCATCCTAGGCGGGGACCTCCCCCGTCCTGTCCCCCCCCCCCCCCCATCACTTCATACCCACTCTCCGTCTTGCAGGGGATTTCTGAGCTTGCAAAGTAGTGTTTAATTTTCCTTTTTCCGTCAAACGTTCTGAAAGGTATCACAAAGGGTTATGTGAGCTGGGTAAACACGGCCCTCTGAGGCTTAATCCTGGGGACAAGAACGGTCTGTGGAGATGCAACAGTTTCTCACCAGCCACAGCCCAGGAGGGTGAGGGCACCTCCTTGTCATGAAGACGGGGGTGGTGGTGGCTCCGACTGCCCCCTCCACTGTTTGCTGGCACGCCCCTTCTGGGGCTCATCCAAGGGAGGAGCAGAAGACACAGTGAGATGTTAGGAATGGGGCTGGAGCACCGGAAACACGTGTGCCCGTTGTGCCCGAATGCCACCCTGTCCTGCCTCACGCCCACCCTGCGCTGAGAACCATGCTGAGCTCGTTTCCTTTGTGGGGGGGAAACTGAGGCACAGAAAGGTGAACGGGCTTGCTGAGGTCGAACAGCTACAGAGAGATGGAGATGAGATCTGAGCCCAGCATCGGCGCTGCCCACCATGGGCTTCCTACTGGGCAGTGGCCAGAGAGCCTTACAGAAGCTGTAGCCGAGCAGGCGTGTGTGACCAGCAGCAGCTGGGGGTCCAGTCCACCTTGGGCGGGAAAATATTTGTCACATGAAGGAATGACAGGGTGTCAAACACATGGCGGTGGCGTTGTCCTCACACAACAGGAAGCTAAAAAACCTGTGTAAATATCGGCAAGGGGATAGCACTTGCTCAGTTGGAGGACCAGCAGGGCTGGGGCAGCTGAGGAGGGCGCCTCTGAGTAGCAGACACAGCAGAGACTGAGGAAGAGTTAGAGTGAGTGCGTGGAGCAGCATGCCAGGCTGAGGAAAACAATCTGTGTGGTGGAGGAGGCCTTCAGGTGGGCGGGAGTTTAGAATGTGTGAGGAGCTGAGGCGGGCAGTTGAGGAGAGGCCACTCAGTCACTAGAGCTGGTCTCCCAGGCAGCCAGGATAGCTAGCTCGGGTGTCCATGTGTCTCCATGTGTCTCCATGGGGATCCCAGCAACACGATCCTTTTTAACACTGATGCCTCGAGGCTGTGACCTCCTCGACATAGCCAAGCGGGCAGAGTGCCCAGGAGAGACCCTGCAGGGCTGGGGCCTCTCCCTCAGTTCAGCCCCACAGCCCCCGTGCCATGTGCCTGTGAGCTGGGGCTGAGAGGTGGCCTTCTCCAGGCCAAAGGGCCCCTGGGTATGTGAGCATACCACTGCCTATCCCCCTTGGCTATCCAGGGTCACCCGCCTGGGAAAGTCAGCTGGCCAGTTCGGGGCATGTGGAGTTGGCGTGGGTACCCTCTAAGGGTCAGACACTGCTAGGAGCCCACTTCATGCTGAGTC